ACACCAGTGAAATTATTTATCGATTTTCTCTTCTTTTTCGTTAATTTGTTCTAGTCTTAACTCAAAAATGTGACTAGATGCTGAAACAATGGTTAGCTAATAGTTTTAGTGGCTTATGCTCACAATTTGGTTTAAAAATTAATATTCACAAATCACAATATAGAGAAAAAGAAAATAGGTAACTCACGTTCACGTATGTATTTTTTTTTTTCCCCACTACTATTTTATTTCAATACTAGATAGTTATTTACTTCAATGAAATTATTTATCGGTTTTCTCATTTTCGTTTGGGGTTTCTTCGTTAATTTGTTGCAGTCGTAACTCAAAAATGTGACTTAGATGCTGATACAGTGGTTAGCTAATAGTTTTAGTGGGTTATAAATGCTCTTTAAAAAATTTACAATTTGTTTTTCTCTATCTAGCATGTCCATATTTCTCTGTAACTATAATGATTTATGGTTATGGATTTAAGGCTACTAAAGAAGATAGAGAAAATTAATAATATGATAGTATATGCCACTCATTTTCAATTAGTACTGAGATCAGAGATCATCATACCTTTCCTGCGCCGGAACAATTTAGACACCTTTTTGTTGTCGGGACTTGCAGAAGCTGGTTTGAAGCTCTAGGTCGTGTTATAAGATCAATGCTTAAGCACACACCACTTGCTGAACATCGGGCGCATGGCAAGTATCCTATAGGAAGGGATCAAGCATATTCATTATATATCCCATGAGACCATTGAAGAAGTTGTTTATGTTGTTGTAAGCAGTTTCAATAGTTTAAAGGAAAAAGTCAATAATATTCATTATATCCCATGAGATTGATATACAAATTAAGTAGTTAAATGACACCCACAGAAATTCACAAGTTGTTATTTTATCGGAAAAACATATGGCATATTATAGTATAAGCAAGTAGTGCAAATATATCAATAAAATAAAGGATTACTCAAATATTTCCAGTTGATTAAGTTTTGTATCTCCACGTGTGTTTCTTTATTGATTACTTTGGCCAGGGTTGTTTCACTTGTCTAAACTCACCTTTACTGATTTTTCTTTTCTCCACAGTTTCTGTCTTGCTCTGTTTCAACCAGCAAAAAGTCCTCAATGAGTACTACGATCAATCGACCGTTCCGGCCGGGAGATTTCAGTTCAACCTAAAGCTCGCTCCTAGGTCATCTCACTTGTCTTTCCTTGACATCTTGGTCAAAATTTCCATTTTTTTATGTATCCGATCCGATCACTTTTTGAGTCATCCGATCGAGAGGTTCTTGTTCCTGTTGAGCTTTGGTGGGTGTGGAACTGATGCTGCAAGCAAATTTGACAAGGGCTTGTTCGTCTG